GCAGCACGTGGGCGGCGGGGCTGGGAGGACAGCCTGGACCCGCTGGCCAGCCCGCGGAAGGGAAGGCCAGGAGCCGGGCGCGTTGGGGCGACGGAGGCGAGGACAGGGTTCGCGGCGAGGATCTGTGCGTGGGATCTGGGGCGCACCTCCGAGCTGCGTGCGCGTGGGTCTGACCCTAACGCGTGTGCCTGGGACTTCGAGAACTGAGCTGCGGGAGAAACCACTGCCCGGGCCTCCGACCCGCCACCGCATGGTGCACGCATGAGCTGACCCGAACAGCCCCGGGTGGTGTCGCCAGCACAGTGCACAGAAGGCGGTGGGACCCGAGGCTTGAATGTGTCCCGCGTGCGCAAAACACACAGAAACCAACATGCACCTTAGGCTGCGAAAGGCCCAGATCTCAGGAACAGTGTTGAGCGTGTCCAGAATACATTCGAAAATCACCGAGTGTCCAAAGTACTAGAAAACCATTGGGCTAACGAGGGTGCAGAGCAGTGAGCGGACGCTCCGCCCCAGAGGACGCGGCCGCCAGGGTTACCAGGCAAGGACTTGGGAGCAGCCGTTGTCACCTTGCGCTAAGAAGTCGGGGTGACGCTCTTGAAACGAACAGAAGCAGAGGAGGAGGCGAGAAGCCAAAGCTGTAGAGAAGGGTCGAGGACACATTTAGCACCGAAGTCTTCAGTAACCAAAATGAAGCATTCGCCGCGTGCGCCCCACACCAAAATGGGGTGACGGGAGAGAGAAATCGACGACGGGACAATGGAAATTGTTTACAACCACAGAACGGGGAGAACAATAGTATTGGAAAATATAAGCAGAGCTCAAGGCCTTGTGGGATGATGGAAAAAGACAAAAAACATCAAAAACGGAAAGTATGACGCTGGAGTCCCAGAGAAGAAATGGGGTGACTGCCGGACGTGGGGGGGACACGCGTGTTCCTGATCGTGAGGATGGCCTCACAGAATTATACAAAACCCCTCAAACGGCACAATTTAAATGCAGCCCTTTATTATATGTCGACTGCATCTCAGTACAGCTGGAGAAATAGCGAGAATCTAATAGGCAGACCTGATCTGCAGAACCGAGCGCTCCTTCTTTGAAATTCTAATAAAACGAACATGATAAATCTAAGAGACATAATAATTTCAGAAAATAATATAAACATGCGATGACAAATTTTAAAAGCTAAATGAAAAATGCATTACTTGGGAAAATGTAAGTGAGAAAAATTATCTGGAAAAAGTAAAAGTAACTGTAAAGAAGAAAGTTATTAAAAAGAAATTCAGAATCATCATCGATCAACCTTTCAGAAGCCTCGGGTCCAGGTGGCAGCCGAGTATGTCCCACTGAACCTCTCACGTTCAACAGACGGAACCTTCTAGAACTTCCAACGGAGGTGCGAAGCTGTTTCAACAGGGCACTAAAAAAAAAGGCTTTTTATCAAAAAACCAAAAAGATTTCTCAACTTTGGGAAGTTTATTCACAAACATTAACTAATTTTAGAGGAAACGAAACCCGTTAGCATCTTGATTAACACTGAGTGCGTTCCACAGATTAACTGCCCGTTTAATATGAAGTTTTAACAGATTAATAATAAAAAGTATCTTCTTTCAAAAACATTTTTTAAATGCTTTATTTAGAGTCGGCACACAGTATTATATCAGCTTCAAGTGGACAACATGGCGAGGTGGACAACACTTACATAACTTACGAGGTGACCATGGTCAGACTAGTCCCCGCCTGGCACCAGACGTGGCTATTACGTTGACACATCCCCCAAACTGTACTTTACATCTCCGCGACCAGTCGGTAACCCCTTCTCCTTTTGCACCCAGCCCCCCAGCCCCCTCCCACCTGGCACCCCTCAAAACGCTCTCCGTATCGATGAGTCTGTTTGTGTTTCGCTCGTCGGGTCCCACACGTGAGCGAGGTCATCTGGCGTTCGTCTTTCTCTGTCTGACTCGCTCCGCTCAGCACAGCGCCCTCCGGGCCCATCCACGAGGCTGCAGGTGGTGACCTTCCATTCTTTTCTATGGCCGAGTCATACTCCATTGTATGTTCGTACCGCCTCTTCTTTATCCTTTCATCCATGATGGACGCCCAGGTGGCCTCCCCATCGTGGCTGCTCTAAATGATGTTGTGATGAGCACATGGATGCACTCGTCCCTTCGAAGTAGAGTGTTGGGTTTCTTTGGATAAACACCCATGTGTGGGATTACCGAGTTCCTCTTTGTCTTCGTGATGGCCTTTGTCTTCGAGTCTGTTTTGTCTGATGTAAGTACTGCTACCCTGGCCTTTCGTCCGACTGTTTCCCTTTTCACGAAACGCCTTTTCCCCTCCCCTTACTCCAGTCTGCGTGTGTCTTTCCGCCTGTAGCGAGTCTCTCGTAGGCGGCATATGTAGGACCCTGGTTTGCTTATCCATTCAGCCACCCTATCTTTCGATGGGAGCGTTTTATCCCTTTACGGTTAAAGTCATTGTTGATAGATGTGTCGTTATTGCCATTTTATTACTCCTATCTCTGATCTGTTTTTTTTCCTTCTTCTTAAAGAAGACTGTCTGACATTTTCTGTAATGTTGGCTCGGCGCGGGTGAACCCCCTGAGCTTTTTCTTGTCCGGGAAGCTCTTTGTCTGTCCTTCGATTCTAAAGACAGCCTCGCTGGGTAGAGCCGTCTTGGTTGTAGGTCCTTGCTTTCCAACAGCGTGAATATTTTGTGCCGGTCCCTTCTGTCCCGCAAAGTTTCTGCTGAGAAGTCGGCCGGCACTGTTCCTGGAGCTCCCTGCTTTTCTTTTGATGGAAAAGTATTGTCTTTGTTCATTTTTTATGCTTTTTCACCAAGGGACTTGTTCTGCTTAGTATCTGCAGGGCCGAGAATCTGGGCTGGCAGAAAACAGATGCTCCTTAAGAAATTGAGGAATTAATGAACGAGAAATAAGACAGGCAATCACACTAAGAGGCAGAGCCTTCATGCAAAGTTACAAGATGAAGGGGCTGTGCGCCTTATGAAGGAAGGAGCTTTTCAAAAACATATCATTATGAACTGATGAAATGGGAGTATCTGGAAAATCCGATAGAAGGAAATAAATTATTAGAATTATTTTAAGAATTATTAGAATTATTTTAAAATACAGAAGGTGGCTGGGTATCAGATCAAAATATTCCAAACAGGAGCTTTATTACATGCCTACAATAACCAAGTAGAAAAAATCCTCATCTACCACATTCATATTAATGATGGAAACAGACTATTCGGAAAAAATATTTGAAATACAATGTTTATATTCAAGGAAGTTACAAACATTGTTGGAAAGACACGAAGCAGTCCCGTGTAAATGGGAGATACAGTATGCATTAGTGGGGAAACATTACTGTGAGGGTACGAATTCTTCCCACATTACTGTGTAAATTTAATGCAATTTCAATCAAAAATCCCAATTTTATGTCTTGTGAAATTTCATCTTAAAATATATATGAAGCGGAAAATTGGCAAGCCTGACCATGAAAATATAGATAAAGAACAATGCAGATGGTCTCGCAACCGGTATCAAGGAAGACTGTGTCATAATGGATTCAAAAGACAATATATTGGCACAGGGGTAAAAATAGAAAGATCAATAGAGAAAAGAATAATAAAATTCAGAGAAAGAGCTGAACATACACAAGAAGCCGGCGTGGGAGGGAGCTCACATGCCAAGTAGCACTGAATTCACAGTTTGTTTTGAGAACATTATGGCCGATCGGGGAAAAATCAAGATAGATAACCACCACAGGCAATAAATAACCAAAAAATTCCCTCCTAAGTAACACAGAACTCAGACGTTGTGACAAAAAACAGATTTGTCAACACGAAAATGAAAACGTCTGATAGAAACGGCATCATAAGCAATGAATAGAAATAGTAGAAAAGAGATTGACTGTACATGTAAAATCAAAGATTAATATTCGCGATGGATCAGGAGTCACGCGGACTGATCAAGACAAAGGCAGCAAAACAGAGAAACGAGCGAGGTTCACAGGAGGATAGAACGGTGGATAAACGGAAGCCACGCCTAACCGGAAGCCACGCCTAACCGGAAGCCACGCCTAACCGGAAGCCACGCCTAGCCAGAAGCCACGCCCCCGCCGGGCCGGAAATTAAGCATGGAGAGTGTGTTTGAGTGACAGCTGCAGGAAGCAGGCCCCGCCCTGCCCGGCTGGCCAGGTCTGGGGCGCCCTTTGGGGAGCGCTCAGGGCAAGGCCTTCTGGGGGACAGTGCACCCGGGACCGTCCCCACTTAAAGCCCACGTCAGCTCTGGGGAAGGCTCACGCCTGTGTGCACAGACACCTACCGAAATGTTCCTGCAGGGGCAGGTCCACGCGGAAGGCCACCAGGGACGCTCCGATTCCAGGGGCAGGGAGAGTGTGGGCTGTCGACCGGGTGTCTGGACCGGGGGCTTCCCGCGGCCATCGCGTGTCACGGGCAGGTCTGTGGGCGATGGAAAGATGCTAAACACAACGTTAAATGTGAGCCGTGAGCCGCACAGGCGCAGAAGCAGGTCGGCGCCGCTCCCGTTACAGAAGATGCGTCTGGCCATCCAGGTGCGCTCCTGTGTCTCACCTGCACACCTGCACGTGCGTGCGGGAGGGCGCATGTCGACATTGCCCTGCTGGCTCATCGCAGCGGGGGGCTTTGCGCTTCACCCCCTGCCCCCACCCTGGGCTCACACGCGGAACGCCCGGGGAGGGCTGCCCGCAGCGGTGGGCACAGGTAACGCCCCCAGAGAGAGGGTACGGCTGCCGCCGCAGAGCGGGGGCCGCCAGCCTCCCTGCCCCGGCTGGCAGAACACGCCGGACCCCATGCGCGGCCGCGCGGTGACTGGTTCTGGGACTGGCAGTGGATATCGACAAGGGCCTTCCTTCAAAGTCCCAGGCTGACCCACCGGATCGATAGTGGTGCGGGGAAATAATTAAAACTGTCAGATCCGGAAAGCGTGAGAGGCACTTGGAGCGTTCTGCCGGCCATGGAGAACAGGATTAGCCGTGTCATCGCGAGCACTGCTCAGTTACAGAGCGAGTTATTCAAGTCTTTCTTTGCCGCTCGTTCTCGGGGAAGGGTCAACATCAAAGGTGTCAGAGCAAACTATGGCAGTCCATTAACCCAGAGCGTGGGTGTCCCCCAGAAGCCACGCTGGCCAGGGAGCAGAGGCGCCTTCCAGCAAGAGGCGCTGGTAGCCTTGGCACACGTCACTCCCGGGCCGAGGGTCCGGCCGGGTGCTCTGGCTGCCCGGATGAGCCCTGTCTGGGGGGAGGGGCTCCCGGGCGGGGCCTCAGCCCCACGCAGATGCCGCATCCTGCAGATCTCCTGCTGCAGATCTGCTGTCACAGGGTGCACAGGGCCAGCAGGGAGGGGGCAGGGCTGGCTGAGACCCCAGCCCGCTATCCCCCACAGGGCCGGGGCCCCCAGGCTGAAGACTCTCCTCCGTCCTCGCAGGCCCTCTGAGGGTCCCCCGCCTGCCCCTCTGCAGCCCTCGGCCCGCTCAGCACGTCCGAGCAGCTGCGGCGCTGGCCAGGGCGCAGCATTGCGGGGTCAGAGGTCGCACGTCTCCGCCAGCTTCGTCCAGCCCCGGGTCCTCCCGGCCAGCAGCCGTGTCCTCTCACGGCGCTGTGGGACGTGGGTCTGCGTTTGCCGAGAAACAAGCCGAGGACCGGACCGGGAGCGCAGGAGCCACCCGGCTGCCCTGGGGCCGAGCGCGGGAATCCCTGTGCCACAGGCGGTCCGGCAATGTCATTCCGCCGTCTCCCGGCCCCATCCCCGGTGACACCTGCGACTCCCCAGGGCATCTGGGGCACATTTCATGGTGGAGATTTCGATGGGCTGGGGCCACAGAGCCGCCCGCGGGGGAGGCGGCGTCCAGGCTGGCGCGGACCGCAGCCCCCTGGCCTCCGCCGGAGGAACAGACTGGGGCCACAGAGCCGCCTGCAGGGGAGGCGGCGTCCAGGCTGGCGCGGAACGCAGCCCCCTGGCCTCGGCCAGGGGAACAGCTGTGGCCAGTCTCCAGCCAGGCCCGGCGCCTTCCTGGGCGCGGACCCAGCAGTGAATCACGGACGAATGGGCAGGGGGGCCGTCCAAGCCATGTCCAGTCTGCCACCTCCATGGCCCTGCCAGGGCCTGAGCCTGAGCTCTGCCAAACTCCGCAGCGAGCCAGGGGCGTCATTCGAGGCCCTGAGCGGGCCGCAGCCCTGGGAGCCCCTTCGGGAAGTCGGTGGACGGCTAAGGCGGGGAAGGGAGGGGCCTCAGCATGGACCCCGGCCCACCGGGCCCAGCCGCGGGTCCCTCGTTTGAAAGACGGGGCTGAACTTTTAAAAATGCACAGAGATATTTGGAATGGCAACTTGTGTCTTGGAAGGTAAACCAGGGAGGCGCCTGCTCGCCCGTGCCAGCGTTTGACTATCCTGCCCCACAGCCTCCTGCCACCTGCCACCCCTTAGGTGCCCCTCATGGGGGTCGGTCGAGGGATGGGCAGGCTCACAGGCCCCTTCGGTGTCTGCTGCTGGATGGGGCCGGGGCTTGTCCAACTCCAGCCCCGGCCTCGCCGGCTTCCGAGTGCCCTGTGAGTGGAAACTTAAGTGCCCCCCGACAGGCTGGGTGTCTCGTCTGCGTGACACCCCCTGTGCTTGGGCCCCAGCGCCTGCGTCCGCCGTGCCCAGGAATCCTCACTAGACGGACGGACGAGAGCCGCCGAATGCACACTCCTCGGTGTGAGCTCCGCCCCTGCCCACTGCGGGCCTGGGCTCCCTGTCAAGCCCTCAGCCTCCTACACCCCGGGGCCTGGCACCCTGGCACGCAGGCCCTCGGACGGCGAGCTAGGCAATGGGCATGCGCGTTTAAGCCCCGTCTCAGCCCTGGGGAGCCTGTCCTGACTCCTGGGAACCTCAGATGTCCCACCTGCGAGGCTGGCTGTGAGGCACTGTGCAGAAGGCTCTGGGGCACAGCGGGGAACAGGGCAGAGCTGGCAGTTGCCAGGGACCCTCTGGGCCACCTCACTTTTCACAGCAGGCTGTGCTTTGCCTCCAGACCAGGGGCTGCTGCATGGTCCAGGGCAGTCCCTGGGCCACCAGGGATTCTGCCCTCAGGCCCCTCCGCCCCGATTCCTCCCAGCCGGGTTTCCCCTGGCACACTCTGTTCCCCATGGGAGCTCAGGTCCCAGCACAGAGCAGGCCACGGGGCCCGTGGACTCGTAGACACAGTGGGCCAAGCCAGGGAGACGCGCCTCACGGTCCCGCAGAGGCTGGAGGCTCAGTCTGGGGACACTGCGCAGTGCGGGGGAGCAGACACGCCCATGAACGATGCACCCAACACGCGTCCCGGACCCCTGGGGAGCACACTCGGTCCATCTCGTTGCACACACACACACATGCATGCACTTGCACGTGCACACATGCACACACGTGCGCGCACACACGCACACCATGCACACGCACGCACACCATGCACACACACCCCGCTGCGTTAAATGTAATCATATCACACACCTTAGGCTGTGCTGTGTGGAATGTCGCAGTTTTTGTAGTAATTATATGCCCGTGGCTGGGGTCACACCGGGTCCCTCGTACGCTGTCTGCTTCTCAGCTCGGTGACGCAGTGGCCCGCTGTGCGTGTCGCCCCTCCCCGCCTGGCTCCCCGCCGATCTTATTTCTCAGGAACAAATATTCAGGGTGAGAAGTCCGCTGTAAGGTTTTGTGTATTTTTAATTTAAATACATTTTTCCGGACGACTTCTCAAAAGAGCAGTTGTAACTCGCTTCTCCCGCAGTAACACACGGATGCTCTTTCCGTCGGGTCCACCCAAACGTGTCGCCGTCCCGATTTTTGCCTGTCGGGGAGGTGAGTTTGTAGCTCCTTACTAAAATACTTAGCATGTTCTGGCTACTTGTGACTTGGGGTACTTTACACATTATTTTTTTTGGCCATTTGGGAAAATGTTCTGTTCGGTGCCTATCTATATACTCTGCCTTATTTGTCTTTTAAGAGTCAAATTTAAAAGCCCTTCGTAGGTTATAGCTATTAACTGTCTACCCGCTCTCTGCCCTGGAAATGTGGCCCCATCACTTTTCATTCGAGTGACGGTCTGTTACGTTACAAGTTGGTCGAAATGTAGTCACATTGTTTCTTTATTTTTTCTTCAAGTGCTTCTTAGTTGCTACTATTCCTTAAAAACGTTCGCCTAAACCATAGGTTCTACATACACACATTAATTTTCTTCTGAGACTGCATTCTTTTATTTTGAAGATTTTAGCATCTGACGCATCTGCTGTTTGTTTCCGCGTGTGCGACCAGCTGGCAGCCGGGTTCGTTGGCTCCCACACAGACAGGCAGGAGTCAGCGCACCCGTGAGGAGGGCGCCCTTCCCAGGGGGCTGGCCCCTCCCCTCCCCCGTCCCCAGCGTCACGAAGCTGTGATGCTCTCAGGCCAGGACCCCTTGGTTTCATTCTTCATAGTTTTCTTATAGACATGTATTTTCTGACACACATTTTCCATCTCTTTATCCAAATTGAACACACACACACAGACACACACACACGCACACACACACGCACACACGCATGCACACACGCACACACGCACACTGAAGTTCTGTTTGGAATTACCTTAGAGTTTTATGGGAATTTGCGGGGGGTTGGTGTTTGTCATTTGATCACGTCTTCGGGGCGAGCACTTAGCCAGGGGAGAAGGGGTCCCCGCAGGCCGCATGAGGTCTGCAGCGGCCGGAGGGCCTGTGGTATCCGCTCCGGCTCGCCGCTTCCGGCAGGAGGGGCGGCCGCCAGCCCGGATTGATCATTAAGCCGTGCATCTGCCTCCTGAAAGATAAATTCCAACACTGCCGAGGTTTTCTATTTCACTTAACTAAAGTTGAGAACGGAGAACAATTAAACGCAACCTGAGGCAACCCAAAATATTATCCATCAAAAGTCTCCCATCCAATCCTGCCGCACATTCATCAAAATGTCAGTTACTCCAAGTACGGTTTTATCTTATTAATGCTAATTTCTCCCATGGAAAGACTGGCGATTTTACCCTTCAGTGGCTGTCAGGGAGCGGGCAGAAATGCCTTGCATTTTAATTCAGCAGGCCGCCTTATTTACCGTCAGCTTATGTACAGCCAGCTGCCAATTTCCTCACTTCTTGGCATGGAGACCCTTCGGTGGCTGGGGCTGGGAGCAGTCCCTGGGGAGCGGAGGCCGGGCCAGTCAGCTCGGGATGTTTCTGCCCGAGCCATCTCCTCCGTGTGGTGTTCCAACCCGAGAACGGTTCATTCCTCATTGCTACTGAGAGCACTGGTCCCCCAGCCCCCCACAGGACTGCACATTCGGCGGAAGCCGCCCCAGTCCCCACGGCACCTCTGGGTGTGCCGTGCTGTGTGTCTGGGAACAGACGCCACCTCGCAGTGCCAGCCAGTCCCTTGAGAATCCTGGGGCCCTGAAATGCCATCTCCCATGTTCCCTCTCTCTGGGCGTCCGGCCTCCGGAGGCACCCCAAACCCGAAGACTGGCAGTGCATGCATAGACGGGCAGACGGGAATCTGGGGTGCATGGACGTGGCGGCCCCTGGGTGGCATGGGTGGGCTTTGGGGGCCTCAGGGCCCCCTCCCTAATTCTCCCTGTGGCTCAAGATTCCAGCAGTGACGTGCTCGGAAACAATTAGAAGACTCAGAAATCAAGAACCCCTGGGGCGGACGTGCATGGGGAACGGCCGGTCAGCAGAGCTGGAGGAAACGTGGTCGACGTAGAGACAACGGGTGGACGCAGGGCGGGGGCGGGGCAGGAGCTGGTGAGTGTCCATCAGGCAGGAAACCAGGCGGAAAGGGCCACCTAACGCGTGCCAGGTGCCTCGTGACCAGAAAACGAGCCTGCGTGGTTCATGAGATGCGGCAGCTCGTCCGTGGTGGCAGCGACCTTGTCATCTTCATGGAAAAACCGATATTCGAAGGTAGGGCACAGCCACAGTAAAGCCGACATTCATAACTGGTGTGTGAATGCGAACCCCCAGGCGTCAGTGGGCAGGACGGTGGCCCCCCATGTAGAGTTGTCCCCCGTAACGACACAGGGGAGGGCGGGCGGGCTGCTCGCGGGGCGCGGCATCTGTCGGAGCATTTCATTCCCAGGCCCGAAGGAGTTCCAGAGAGAAATGTCGGTTTCACGGGGCATCCGCAGTTTGAGAACGGAATTGGGTTGGGAACGGAATTACGTCCAGACCCTTAATATCAAGAAACGGGATCGAAACGCTTTTATTAACACACAAGCAAACAAACAAACAAACAAGTTTTCTCGTGAGTGCGCCGTGTTTCGTCAGGAGCTTTTCTGCATCTGGATCCGTCCCGATCGGACCTTCCTTCTCCGGCTTGTCGATATGGTGGATCACACGGCTTGACCTCCAGGTGTCGCCTCCCTGCCGTGAATCCCTGTCGATCAGGATGCGTGCAGGTGTCCTTCTGTTGCTGGATGCTTCGTTGCAGAGTTTTACGTTAAGTTCGTGAGCGATATTGGTTTTCTCTCCTGGTTCCGTCCTGGCCTGGTCTCCGTGTTGAGGGGCCCTGGCCCGATGAGAGGCGCCGGGACACATCCCCTCCTGTTTCGTAGGAGAAAGTGTAGAAAAATGGCATCGATGTTTCTTTCCGCGTTTGGCAGAATTCTCCAGCGAAACTGCGTGACCCTCGACCCTTCCTCCCAGGGCGTCCCATTTGGTTTTCACTGGTCACGGGACTGTTCGGTCGTCGGTTCCCGTTCGCGTCTGCTGGGGCACATGCGGCTTCGAGGACCCGGCCCTGGGCGAGGCAGGCGAGCGAGCGTGCGCCTGTTCCCGGCGTCCCCTCCCCGCACCTTTCGACGGCTCTGGGCCCTTTCCAAGCGGGGACACCCCCCATCGCCCCTCTAACTCTGGCGATCTGTCCTTCACGCTTTGGATTTTTTTCGGTCTCGATAGAGGTTTACCCGTTTCACTGACGTTTTGAAAGACCCAGATTTCCGTTCATTTGCTTTTCTCCATCGTTCGTCTGTTTCCGATTTCGTTGGTTTCTGCTCGACATCACGTCCTTCCTTCTGCCCACGTCGGGTTCGCTTTGCTCTTTTTCTGGATTCTCGATTATTGATTTGAGAGGTTTTTTTACTGCTTATTGTGTGAGCATGCACTATCGTAAATTACATTCTCAGCACTGATTGAACCGAATCCCACAAATTGTGGTACGTCGTGTTTTCGTCTCGCTCGGGTCCTTGTACCTTTTGAATGTCCTCCGAGACTTGCTCTGCACCCCCTTTACTCTTCGGAAGTGCGCTGCTTGATTTCCACCCGTTTAGAGATTTATTTCGTCGCTCCCTTAGAGTCAGATTCAGAGAGCTCACTCGGCGCGACGTCGATACTTTTAAATTTGTTCGGGTTTGTTTTATGGCCCAGGATGGAGCCGATGTTGGTGAACATTCCGCGAGCACCTGAAAAATAATGGGCATTCTGTGGATTTTATCTCATGTCCACACACGTCCATGAGGTCGTTTTCCGGCTGTGTGCTTCAGATCGTCCACGTCCTCGCTCATCTTCTGTCTGAAAGCGCCGCCCCTCGCCCAGGGGCCGTAGCCGGCGTCCCCAGGACCACCTATGAATTTTTCTTTTCTCCTTTTCCATCGGTTCTTTAATTTTTTTTTTTTTACTGTGGTAAAATACGCATAAGATAAAATGTACTGTCTTAGTCACTTTCAAGCGCACAGTCCGGTGGAATTGAGTGCGGTCACGCCGTTTCGCGGCCACCACCCACCCCTGCGTCTCTTTCCATCTCGCAAAGCTGAGACTCTGCACCTGTCAGGCGGCCCCGGCCCCGGCCCCGGCCCCGGCCCCGGCAACCACAGCTCCGTGACGGTCATGGGCTTGTCTCCTGGATTTGAAGCTTCGCTGTTGGCTGTGCACGCGTGTTAGACTGTGACGCCTTCTTAATAAAGTGATCCCTGTGTCATTATGTAATGACTCATTATCGCTCGTAATTTTCTTGGTTTAGAAGTCACTTTATCGGATATTCAGAGAGACACGGTTTTTTTTTTACCTGATGTCTGCTCGGCGTATGGTTTCCACCCCTTACTTCCAGCTTGACGATGCCTTTGACTGTGGAACGTGTTTCTTAGAAGCGGGATACGGTTGGATCGTGTGTTTTGTTTTGCCTTATTTACTCTGCAAATTTTAATTTTTTTAAATACATGTATTTAAACCATTTATATTTAAGGGGGTTATCGATAGGTTGGCACTCAAGTCTGCCATTTTGTCATTTTCTATCTGTTCCATGTCATTCCTCTGCTCCCTTCCTTCATCTTCCTCTGAGATACTGGGTTATTTTTTTAGGATTTTGCTTTAATTTACTTATAGTGGTTTTAGTGTTATCTTTCTGTAAGGGTTTCTCTGGATATTTCAATACACATTTGTGACTTTTAACGGTCTCTAGTACCAGCTTCAGCAAAGAGAGGGGTCCTCGCCGATACTTAGGTCCTTTTATCTTGATCACTTTTAAATATCATTTCATCGGCGATTAGAAGGTGTTACCATTTTGTTTTCACTGTCGGATATAATTTATAAAATTCTATCGCACACGCCCATATTCCTTCCTTCCTTCCTCCCTCCCTCCCTCCCTCCTTCCCTCCTTCTTTCTTTCCTTCCTTCCTTCCTCCCTCCCTCCCTTCCTTCCTTCCTCCCTTCTTTTTGGGTGCTCCGCCCCCCGCCCATCCTTCCGTTTCTGTCTGAAGAACTTGCTCAGCCCGTCTTCAGGGGGACAAACTGTTTTAGATTTTCTTCAGCTGCGAGCGTTGCTGTTTCTCCTCCATTCCCGGAGGGTCGCTGGCCGGAACCAGAACCGTGCCCGATTCTTTCCGTGACCGAGCAACGTCGCGTCTCCAGCGTCTGGTCTCACGGTTCCAGACGAGACATTCTCTGTCATCCAGACTCGGGTCCTTCCGCAGGTGTCTGTGTCCCTTCTCTTGGCTGATTTCAAGATGTTTTTCTTTTCCATAAGTTCTCAGAATTTTAGGCGTCAAGTGCGTGAATGTGGGTTTCCTTTGGTTTAATCTGTGCTCAGCGTGGCTCTTGTGGATCTGCCCGTTTGTGTCTTTTTGCCAAATTTGGGCAGATTTCAGCCATTATTTCTGCGGCTCCTTTTCTTCCTCCTTGTCTCTGGGACTAGGACGATAAGAACGTTGGCTCCTTTGTTATTTCCCCACAGGTCCCGGGGGCTCTGTTCGTTTCTGGTTTCCGTCGATTTCGCTCTTGTGCTGCGATCGTGTGAATTCTATCGTCTGCCCCAAGTCCACTGACTCGGTTCTCCTTCTCTCTCCCCGGCCGCCGAGCCCGTCCGCCAGTGCCTGTGTCTGCTCCTGGATTCCCGCCTCGGTCCTTTGTTCTAGCCCCTGTCTCGTGGTGGAGATGCCGCGTTCCTTCGTGTGTTTCAAGAGCATTTGTGATTGATCGCTGGAGCTGTTACGATGGCTGCCTTCAAATCCTCGTCCCGTGATCCCAACACCCGCCTCGTCTCGGCGTTGGCTGGCTGTCTTCTGTCACTCACGCCGTGATTTTCCTGGCTCTTGGTATCATGGGCGATTCGGTCGCGTGCTGGGCGATGGTCTGGAATGCAAGGCGATGCTGGTCCCATTTATAGCTTTTATTTTAGCAGGCGGGAGCCCTGCTTGTGTCCAGCGTGTGGGTCCCCACCGACCCGTGTGCTGTGGTTACAGTGATGGAGAGA